ATAAAAATCACATATGTATGGAAAATTATTGGGGGTCTCCTCCCTGCTCCGCGGTCCCTGAAATTACGCCTGTTGTGCTGTAAATGAAGCCTGTTCTAAATCGCCTTATTTCATAATCGAATTTTTGGCGGGAATATATTGTGTTCAACTGTTCTACCCATTAAACATGCTACATGTACTTCATATTTATTTATTTATATTATACTGAACCGCATTAAATAATTGTTGAATATTCATCATATAAGATTCCAGACCATATGGCGATAATAAGGGACCAGTCATTATTAATGCCGGGTAGGGGGCCGGAGGAAATTTTGAGGGGCCACAAAAAATTTTTCACCAGTGAAGAGGGGGGAGGGGGCAGAAAATATTTGGAACATGAAGGGGGGGGTCAAATTATAAAGTTTATGGAATAGTTTGTAACATGTAATATCAAAAGAGTAACAGATATATACAGTATACATACATACATTGAACAGTAATGCCCAATATATTGAACCTAAAATTGACAATGTGTTCTAGCTACTGTATATGGAAATTGTTATTCTCATCATCAGTAGAATTTGTCTGAAGGGTCATGTACTGCATTTGCACTGAAATGCAGATTCAATTGACAATTGTTGTCCTGTTTTACGCGTTTTAACAGTGGACCTCTTTGGCATGTTCTGTTTCTGCATGTTGCTGACAGTCTGTTCTGCCATCTCTTTGCTACCACCAGACACAAATATATATTTTTTCAATGTATGGTAAAAGTAGGCCTGATATGTGAGTTTTTTGTTTGAGGACCAACAACTTTTCAGGTATAAAGTCTGAATTGTCTATTGTGTCTATTGTAAACTAAAGTCACTCTTGTCCACCTTGGCTATCATTTTCAATATTTGCAATATTATTTACAGCTGCAAGTAAACAAGTAGGAGGGCAGGAAAAATGGTTATGAACCTGTGAGTCATTGAATTCAGAATTGCGGTGGGGGGGGGGGCATGAAATATGTTGCCTCGATAAGGGGGGGATAAAATTATTTTGTTAGAAAAATAAGGGGTCATGAAAAATTTTTGCTATTCATAAAAATTTCCTCCAGCCCCCTACCCGGCATTAATAATGACTTGTCCCTAATGAGAACTATTTCTCGCACTGACTGCTCAGAAGTGTTCATGCACGCCACCTAATGGGGGGGGGGGGTTATTCCATTGTAATTGTTAAATATTCTTGGCCTGTGAATAGAGGTTTTACTATACATTTAATACTTCTTGACCAAACATATATAATTTATCTTTTCATTTTTGCGTCTCCAGGTATTGTGAAGACCGGTGATCTTCTCCTAGTGTGTGTTGGAAATGTCAGTTTAGTTGGTTTGTCATTGGATCAAGCTCAGTCAGTTATTGATGATATGTTGAAGAGTGATGAAGTAAGCACTTTAACAATAGTTTTATTGTCTTATGTTTACCGTGCAACATATGTCAATACATGTCGTGATGACCAATCGTTGCTAGATTGCAGTAACATTCTTTTCGAAACGTTTATGCCTCATATCCTTTCTGAATCACAAAGGATTTGAGGAATGAAAATTTGCATCAACAAGCCAACAAGATGGTCGAAATATGTTGGCAACTTGAATTCACGCATTTTTTGAAGTACTGTTTTCTTGTTAGTCTCTTGCATGTGTAGGAGAAAATTCTTCTTGTTATTGGTGTCACACCAGATCGTGCTTCTGCTAACTCAGCACCTACTGTCAGTTCAAACTGGAGTTTCGCTCAGAAGGATTTTATCCAACATTTATGAAAAAGATTTTGTGCATAAGTGTTTTGAAAATCCGTTTCTATTAGAAAATCCGTTTAAAAGTGCTTGGATTTGCAAATAAACAAAAGGTTTTTTACATTTTGAATGCTCTATTTTTTAAAATATGATGTACTGTCTCAATATCTAACACCATTTTGGTTCGCTATGCTTGTAAATGAATATGAAATAAAGTTTATGTTCAGAAAAATTCGAAACATTCGAAAATTCCTCACATTGTTATGAGCAGAACCGATGCGCAGAACGAACTTGATTTCCACTTTAAAAGAAGCGAAATTTTTGTAATGTAAGTAGACCTTTTTTATAATAACGTCGAACGGGGAAAAACATTTAATATGATGTCCCAAGGGACAATTTTTACAACGTCGTTCCCAGGGTAATTTTTATGAAATTTATTGGCTCGCTAACGACTTGCATTGACCTGTGGGACATCACATCAATTGGTTTTCCGCGTTTGACGTCATTGATATCCCAGTATGAAGTTCAAATTTCATCAATTCACATTATCGATTTCAAAACGTGCCGGTGTCACGCGAAATTCTTGCTAAATACGTGATTATCATGATAGATCCCATTAAACTGAATCCAGTTTCAGGGGTAGATGCGATACGTTCATATTACAAAGATACGCCCGCGAATTTCACGAGCCGTCACGGTTGGTCGGGTATTCTGTACTGTAAGACGTTTCAAAATGCATGTTAAAAATCCTGTTTCGCATGGTGAATATCTCATTTCATATTCACGGGATGTGACGCACGCTGAAAGTGGTGAAACGGTTTACGAAACGGAGACTTATGAAGGCGGCGCTATATTGTTTTGGTCGTGTTTCCACATTTCGTACTTGTGTTTCAACACCAGATGTCATGTTAGATTTGATCTTTTCATATTCAATGTTATGATGTCACTCCGTTTGGATATGATTTTTCATCTTCAACGTTATGGCGTCATAACGTTGAATATCATATCAAAACTCCTTATTTGATCAGCAACTGTGCTTGTATGGCGATTTCACAGTTGATTGCTAGCCAATCAGAAACCATGAATCTTTTACATAAGTAATAATGAAAGAATTGAAATTCATTCTTAGACAAGTTAGAGAAATATTGAAGAAATATTGACGTCGCCATCTTAAGCGATTTTAGAAAGATCAATTGATGAAGACGATAGGATAATTATTTTATCTTATAGTATAAAAATGTTAAATGCTATCAAAGCTTACGTTCAATACCAGAAAACACTGTCGGGCGGGGGTATATGGATTTTTTTTGTGGGGGGCCCCTTGCACATGTACAGCAAGAATGGGACAACATCACGTCACCGGAAGCGAAAAATTACCCAAGACTGATTTGAACAATTTAAACTAAATTTAAGCTATGTATCGCGTCGTTCAGTAATAGATGGAAGTAGCGTGTTTGGCCGCTTTTTTTATTCCATGCGGGTCATGTCCTTCCATGTCACAAGTCTAGGTTACAGTACCTATGATTTTTGGACGTATCTCTGAAACACCGAGCCTCCTGAATTGCATATTAAACTTTCCACGCGGCAATACGTCGATTTGTCAGTCCTTAAAACGTAATTTGTTGCAAATCTCTGAAAACGTGTCTGGCTTGAATTTAGGGAATATTAATTTCCTGCAATAATGACCTATCAAGGTTTTCATGTTATAAGGACGCCCCAGTGGTCATTCATGCAAATGCTTTTGGAAATTACCGAGGGGGGATGTGCCCTCCGCAACCCCCTCATCCTAGCCCCCAATATCCGGTACTGATCTTTGCATCAATTCTCACTGCCTGTTTGCCATTTGTTATTAAGAAGGTTAATAATTATAAAAAGTTTACTTTGAAATACGACACGGAGAATATTACAGGTCATATCGTGTAATAGTAACGAACATTTACATAGTGTACGGAAATTCGTTGGGTAATTTATGAAATCAAGTCACTTTATATTTCACTTTTAATTTAAATCATAATTATATTCTTTTTTATAGATTTGATATCAAATTTTAAGTCCATGAATGCACTTTCTTTTCCTACGTTTTTGGACATGCTTTTCAACACCTGCACACGTTCGTTTTTCCATGGTGAAATACTTTCAGATACTATCTATCTGTAAAATCATAGTTGCAAAGCGTGGTCGTAGTTAGTCGTCGCTACATCTAACATAGTCGTAGTCATAGTTTGTTAATTTAACTGGAATAGGCGATTTACACTAAGAGGTCACGTGACATTAATCGGCTTAAAACTAGTTGGTATGGGACTATGACACGGAGGAAAAGCAAGATCTCCTTACAAAATTAAAAGGATAGGAACTTTTTCGGGATCGCAAAAATACGAAACAGAATGAAGTTTGTAATGTGGCAAGTTGGACACGTGTCAAACGTTTGAAACAATAATATATCGTTGGATTTATATTCTGCACAGTAGCTATATCGTTGGAACGTCAAGAAAAAAGATGCGACGTGGCAGCAAGCATGTAGCACTTGAAATGAAAACTGATGCACAAAACGGTCACGAACCGGGTTATGCATGAGCTTGAACTGTCAGGTCTCAGCCTCAATAACTCTGGTTTTGATGACGTCAGGTATTTCAAACATGTTTTTTATAGGCTTGAGTTTAAAATCTTACTTCAAAAAGAATTTTCACATATGATTTATGAACAATTTCAGTTTAATCACGTGACCGCCTACAATGTCGCCTTTGTCTTTAGGGCATTCAAAGCAAAATTGCGATATTCACCGTATCCCTTCTTGTAAGCACAAATTCCATAGCTGCTATTTACAGAGAACCTCTCAGCGCAAGTCGCGTATTAGTTATTGTATCTCAGTTTACAGCTATTTTGGGCGTGTATAACCCGTATAACAATCCTTGGAGTATCCCTCATCCTTTTACCGATGTTGGAAATGTATTTTGTTCTTTTTTCCTGTTTCATTTTTACTATTCTTTAATGTTGAAGAATATCTGATCAATAATTTGCTTTTTAGGGCAAGACGTAAGCAATTGACTATAGCTGACACACCTAAATACTTCACCAAGACGGTGCACTTTCTGTTATTTAGTTACAAGCATATTTCTTTCTTTAAAGTAACAATAACGCTTACAAATTATCCATTTATATCACATTCCGAGTTCGAAAAGATGTTCTACATTACGTCGCTAGAGGTCTGACACACCGCAGAAACAATTCTAAGTCAATACTGAATTTTTGTGTGCTCCTTTATTTGCGATATACATAGTACATTTTATACTGATTGTATTAATTACATTGGTTGAAATATGTATTCAATTATTTTAATCGTTTTACATGCAATTACTTGAATCATATTAAGAATCATTCTTCAGAATTTGAAATAAACGCTATTTGTGACTGTTATATAGTCACTTTTACACTAAATTATCAATTATACATTATATACGCAGCTCAATTCAAAAAACGAACGATGCACCTAAAAAGAAACAAATCATACTGCAGACAATTACCATGTCTATTGTCTATCCAATCTCGTTCCTCGAGCCTGCGATCCTCGGGAAGAAACGTGAGGCTCTGGGATAATCCGTTTCAGGGAGGAATCTGATTGGCCGTTGATATGGAATGTGCAGTTCAGTCTTAGCCAGAATTCCTGGCTTCCGGCAACGGATTATCCCAGAGCTTCACGTGCATTCCCGAGGATCACAGGCTCGGGGAACGAGATTGTTGTCTATCAGGCTTAACTTCTCCTCAGGCCCTCCCCTTTCTTGATATCGGTGGCCCTGACTTTCATGAGATTATAAAAACTCTGGTTACACGATACCGGATTCGATTGCCACGACATCAACATATGTCGTTCGCATGTCTGCCCACACATTTTCCCCCTTTGAAAATTCTGCATAGCATCGGTACATCCCTACATGGTTACTTGTTATGCGGTGTTTTGGTTGCAATGGTTTTTTCATCCAAAATTTATAATATTTTTGCGGAAAATCCCCTTACTGGTACAAAGGCATTCCCCTCCTGAAATGTGCATTATCTTTGCTCGATCCATGCCCCTGAAACGTTTTTTGAGCATTGAATAATGGCCATATCTGAGGAGTGAACGTACTGGTAAATCTAGACTTGGCACCCTGATCGCCATATTGAATTTAAGCGCAGAAGCATACGAGTTTTGTTTCACATATTATGTACATGCAGCTGCAGCGTGGAAATCTTTTAACAAAAATATTTAGTCCTGTCATTAATTTTTTTGTCGACAAAAGACTGCAGTATGTATTCCCTTGTTACAGGGTATGTATTTCATTCAACCAACCCGCTCTTGTTTTTGCTCCAAAACAGAGAGGTGAAACAATTTTTAAACTCAAAAATCTGCCCAGCAAATTTAAAAACTTTCCCTAACGATAGTTAGAACACGAGAAGAACTGTGCCCTCTGTCTTGGAAATCAGGCACAGATTTTTCGCATCCAGACCTCGGGACATTTGCAAAAACGTGGGCACAGTTTTTCCTCATCCAAACCTCACAGACGGTCAATAACATATATACGTGTGTTAGTTTGCTCTGTTGGATCTGGATTTTTGAAGTTGCCTTCGAACCACCCCGTTGAAAAACACGTTATAGATAGAGGTGCCTAACCGAAAAGTGACGAAAATTAGTCATGTGATTACCTGTACGACAGCCATTCTTCAGACGGTGTTGTTTTCATCTTGAAGTTTATAAACGTAGTTTGTGTTCTGTCCTCCACTGCAAGTGCTTGATGAACATGGTGTTTTCGCGTTGTGGTAACATTCTTCACTTGGACCATGCATGTCATACATTGTGTCAGCAGAAGCACTGCTGTAGCACTTACCTTTGAAAAACAGTTAAAACATTTATTACAGAACCATTCTCAGAGAAACATTAGAGAATGTTTCCAACATGATTGTTACACGCCAATGTCAACTGTAAAAGTTAACAGGCTCTATAGCGATCGCTGCTGTCGAGCCAACAGGGATTGGAGGCGAATGTTTCTATTTTAAACGCTCGAAGTTTTCGATCCAAGACTGAAACGCTATCCATGGGAGGATGTGCAGTGTTTTGATTTTATTACAGAACAATCCTCAAAACAAGAAGAGAAAATTCCCACCATGGAAAATGGGTGAGCACAACTAATTATTTTCATTTCAAGGACCTTCCTATCTATTTGCAGTGGAAAAGAAGCTAGCAAACAGCGTACTGAAAAGGTTCCATTCTGTGGAGATTCTGCTCTTATTTTCACAGTTACTACCCAATTTACATGGAACTAGTTCGTCCGGCAACCGTGTATATTCGACCAGCAAACATATTCTCAAACTTTTTGTAAATTAGGGAAACATAGGGAGCTCACTCCTTGTTGCAAACATTGCTAGAATTCCAAATGTGGAACGGTCAACTTTTTTCCCAAATAAAAGTGGGTTAGTGATTGTCTTTTCGCTGCACCCTTAATGTAGCTGCATCGTTGATCTGCATGCAGCAAACATCGTTGGGTGTTTCCAGAAATGATGAAATGAGTCGCTTTGAGCTTTGGACTTTATTCAGAATTAAACTATTTGACAATTGCGGACTTTATGCTCATTATATGCTGTATTTTAATTAATCTTAAAAGTACACCTTACGTTCATGCAATCATCAACGATTGTCAGGGTTTCCAAAAGGGCCTAAAGCCTTATATTTTCCAACTAGAATGCGCAACCTTCCTGAAATTACTGTGTTGTAGCATTACACTAATAAAGGAGTCATTAATTGATATACGCTCCCACTGATACGCACTGCAAAAGCAATAAAACATGCAAAACTACGTTTTTGGAATCTGAAAACCACAGGATGAAGTTAGTACCATGTCTCCGTTTTAGATACACAGTTTAATATTCTGGTGGTGCCTTGTGTCAGTTTTTTCAGCTATATTTGTAGCTTACTTGATATGAGCGCAAATTCCACGATTGTGGAGCTTTTAGAGCTGGAAAAACGGATGTTTGTAACTGAAATATGAAGAATTATTGAAGGCAAAACAAATGCAAACTTAATTACCATTCCCCTACTCCAGCGCATTATTCTTAAATAATTCTAACATAACATTAATCCCAACTCAAACTGTTATTTCTACTCCCACAGTCCCACTTTAACCATAATTAAACGCATAGCTAGCTCTCTATGCTCGAATGTGAAATATTCTCAATAATATTCAATAATGTTCAATAATCACAGCTTCATTGGTAAGAGCTTTGAACAGCAATCACAATACTGCCTGCTCCATTCCTGTAGTTGTTTTAAAACTTCATTTTTCTTTCTGCAAAGGTTAAATAGTAGTACTTTGGATGATTTGGAGTTGCCATCGTTGCGGGTTATTTACTACATGCTTAGTTAATATCTTTTTCAAAAAAATTGAAATGTTTCCCTCACAAGACTTTATCATCCACCATTATCATCCATCACTTACCTCCATTATTGATGGCGAAAGTGACATAACCTTTCTCCTTGATTTTCCTCGCACAGCGACATATCAGTCCCTTCATATATTCCTCCCAGTCAGTAAATTCTGTTGAGATAATGCCCATGAACTCTGAGCTTATTGGGTTAATATCATCCAGGATCAGTTCATTAAGAGCTCGTTCAGCAGGTGGTTCACTATAACAGCCTACTGCTTGGTAAGGTATCTCACATACATCTGTCAAGAAAGGTTTTAACAAAATTTACTTTTGATAAATAGAAGAACACCAGTATTTGACAGGCATCGGAAAGTATCAACGGGGCATTCACTTAGATTCTTGAGGACACTGGGGATACTGTACTATTGAATTTGCACTTGCGCCTCGGCCAACGATAAATGAAGTAGCCAAAACGCCCCGTTATCTGTATCAGGTGAGTATGATATAACATGTTTACTACACGTCGGTTTATATGCCCTATATGTATTTCTAAGTCATCGAAATTATCAGTAAATTAGTTCAAATAACCATGTTTCCCCTTTTGATGTAAAGAATGGCAGAAACCGAACCTTCAATCAACGTTTATCCAAATAGCCATGCATTTTGTTCAATCCCTTTGTGCACATGCAGCAAACCCTAGAAAAAGCCGAAAAACACAAATCACAATACCTGTTGTAGTAACACGATAAACAAAATTTGTAAATCCCATTCCAGTACAAAATGGATCATAATTATGGCATTGTTCATAACATTTGTTCACGCATGTTGAGGTTTTTCCATCCCTATAATAAGTCACATCGCCTTCCTTTCCTGACCAACATTCTCCTGGAATTGAGTTATATTTAGAATGTAATTTCATTTATAACTAACTATATTATTGACAGACTAACTAGCACACACTAACTAACTAAATACCTGTTGATAATCATTTCCTGTAGATAAACTAACTATTCAACAAACTCTGTAGGTAACCTAAAACTATCCATCAATCACTGCAGATAAACTAACTATCCAACAAACTTAGTGACTGTAATTTTTGCCCTAAAGTTGTGCTTGCATGCTTGATCTAAATACTTGAATCGCTCAACACATCACCTTCCAGCGCGCTACAACAACGCGCTAAGCAGTGAAAAGTCGACCGATGAATAAACGGCATTTCTGTAGCCTATATGGAAACCTGACGCAAAAAACCAAATTCAAAATTTCGAAGTTAACATCCCTATTCCCAATTTAGTACATATAATATGATTATGCATGAATAACGATCAATCGATTGATTTACGCCTGAACTAAAGACAAAGACATATTCTCTATATAGCTTCTATATTGCCTAAAAATTTTCTTTGACTTATAGTTACGAAATCACAAGAATAATATATTCGTTGATTTTAATATAATAGACTTTAGATTATTAGATAACTTCAACAAGAGCAAGCATGGCAAACGTTGCTTTCTTGAATGTGACCACGACGTGCTTGGCTTACCATAAGCGGCCCAATCTCTGAACGTCCTATCTATTTTGAATATTTAACCGTTATAATATTTTAAAATAACAAAATAATTAAAAAAATATTAACAATATATGTAAAAAATATATCTCACTTGTTAATAGAATCCATTTGTTGTGTTTCTGAGTCTAGTTGATGCGATTGCTTACGTTTTCGTCGTACTTGAACGGTCGTCAGTATACTGGCACTGAACGACATGGCCATACTAGGACATAAATAACTACAAGGCTATAGCCACTTATCTGATATACTCTCCGACATCGAGTCCAATATCTCGCCTCAGAATCGTTGCAGAGCAATAAATTTCACATCGTCTAATAGCACGAACGTTCCTCTTTCGAAAGAACTTGGTTTCTTCACCATTGCGGCAATTCCCGCGACACACGACGAACTTTGTTTGTCAAAAGTCCAAATTTCCATTTTCGACAGACGCGCTAACCCCATGATCGTCGCCACGAGAGCTGCTCAGCAACCTGGCCTCTTCGTTTGAAAACATTCCATCAGGGGGGAGGAGCTGGACTGGAATGAGGGGGCTTTCAAAGTAACACGATAAAACACATAATATAAATGTTTAATACTTGTTT